TCAGAATTACCAGTTCAAGTCAGTCCGAATGTCGTCTTCGCCACAAACGTCCCCCACGCGTGGAGATGTCCTGTTCGATTCAAGGATAAACCGGTGGATGAGTTCAGATCAAACCTTTTTTCTAATTTATTGCGGAATGAATGAAATGCATAAAAGTATCTTCTGATGAACAATAATTCATGTGCAAATATTACGAATATTGAATCGATCGAATGACTGATAGTGAAATGAACTCTATCTCGGCGATGTTTTTCCGAAAAATACCGTTTAGATCACAAAATATACTCATCGTTCTGTCAGAGAAGTCAGAAAGTGGCAAAAACAGATCTGTTTTTGGTACTTCTAATCAGGCCAATTCAGTACACAATCGAATATGTAGACACAACAAAGCGTGGTAATCCGTACTGTAAGTACTCATACAGTGATTGTGATGATTGATGTTGGGGACTGTGTCCCGATGGACCAGACAAGTCGAACTAGTGTGTCTGTTCCACGATCTTGCTGGTCTTAGACCAGGGCAGCAGTGGTTGCATTAAACACACGACAGTACTCGGTAAGGTGATGGTGGCGCAGTGGTTTAGTCCCTGTCACCGGCGTGCTTTGAACCCGATGGTCCGAGGTTCGAGCCCCGCCACCGCCATTCTGCTTTGGTTGTTGGTTGGTAGTTCTGCTATCGTCTGGTTCAATACCATGCCGAACCTATCCGGGGCCTTATGTGATTCGACACTCCAAGTCCTGCGGGGCTTAAGTTGCCGGTCTCCACCACTGAACAGCAGGTCCTCGTGACTATGGGGTCCACTCCGTCTGCTGTTCATCACACACTTAGCTGTGTAATAAAAATCAAAACCAAATCGGATGTCTGATCGGGTTCAAAATAATTTCACCTGAAGAGAATTCACCAAGCCTTTTGTGTCATCAGCCCCCGAACTTTTAATTCAGGTTTGCCGATCGGATCTGGCTTCACGAAATTATGATCGCTGATTGATGTTTCTAAATACCCGACAGTGAATAAAAAAGTAGAAAAAACCTGATATCCGTGTGGGTCAAAAGTGTGAAAAACCTTGGGTTCGCTGAGTGCCGAGCAGAACACAAAATGACCATGAATTGACTAGCCATGAAGCTTCCCGTTAGTTGTGCCGATCTCATTGAGATCGTTGCTAATGCAGATCGGTCACGCGCACCCTGCGACTGCTCTCCGGAAGCGCATTATCTAACCGGACAATTACAGTGCTACTAACCGACTCGTAACTATGGTCAGAAGAAACACAAAGTGTGTTGGTGTTCGGTAGGAGGTTGTCCGAACCATTATCAGCACTGATAACATCAGTGGGAAGTGTATCCCTAAGCTCATGTTCCCGCTCGTAGTATCTTAACAGAACCAAATTTTACTTGAAGTAACCAACGGACTATGCACTGCGTATAACAATAATCGATTGAAAAGTTTTACTAGTTCACATAAAATATAAATATTGTTCATCCTCTGTTCAAACCTCAAAGATTGACGCAATCTGCAAATGACCAAGTATTCACCTAGTGCTTAGCCCATCTACCATCATGAACCAAAAGGTTACACTGCGGTTGACCTAATTCGAATACGATTGTTTATGTTCACTTTCCCGTGTACATTTTTTTCTTTCTCACAGGATTACGTGAAATATCTGTCCCCTGGGAAACAGTTGACTGATAGTGGACCTACAATACGAAGCTATACCTTACAATGTAATCAGTGTTCCGGCATAAACAACTCCAAAGTGATTCGTTATAAACCTCTCGTGCGGGGTGACGAAGAAGTTACGCGAATGGAATTTGCGCCTTCCTCGCGATCGCAGCCGGACTATGGTGATCCAGCTGCCTGGATTCATCGATCCAATCAGAGCAATCCACCGTCTGACTGTGAAATCACGTGGTTTGCAGTTGTGCACTTGGACGGCAGTGCAAATTGTTTCATGCCGGAAACGGGGAACAGCAATCATCCATCTCGTCCGATTCCCAGTGAATCGGTTCAATTGAATTTACTGTCATTTGAAACCCTTATCCCGATGGACCTGTTGCGGGACTATTTAAGACAAATGCGAGAGCACCGTCTGGTGGTGCTGTGTGGTCCAACGGGAACCCGGAAGACAAGAATTTTGCACAAAGTTGCTGAACTATTGGTACAGGAGTAAGTCCTTATGTAATTTTGACCGATTTTTCTGACAATCGAGTTCAAGAATACATTCAAGAAAATATAGAGAAGCAATACGTGATTTTAAGAATACCTAAACGTCTAACGTTTCCTCTTAAATCCGTTCTGAGAAACGGTTTCGCATTATCGCGGTGAAACACTTCCAAAACGAAAGGTATTCACATTGAATCATCAATTTCATTTGTGCATTTGTAGATTGGTAGCTCCTACTTGAAGACGCATTCTGGGGAGATTGAAACCCTAAACTTTGGCTTATTCGTCGGTTTGAAGATGAGTAATCTACTGAACACACTTGCATTACTCATTGTGTTGGCACACACACAGTTTCTTAATCACGTGTTTATCTCATTCGATGCGGGTTAAACCGAACAGACGTTTGCAAATCCATCCCTGACTCCGTTTATCACCATCTCCTAGGTTTTAGTTACGCAGCAGATTAGTTGATATCAACTTCGGAATTATATAAGGATTTAGTGGCATTAAGATTAACAGATTTGGTATAATCCATTCGATTGTTCACAGGCAATGCTGATGATCTTGGACGATACAGCTGTCTAGTGCTCTTTTCTCAGCGGTCGCAAATCTTTTCA